AAGCCGCGAGCCGCAGGATGACACAGATGAAGAGAACTGGGGTAATTTAAGTTATAAGAGCTGGTTAGAAACAAGCCTAAGCTACAGCCAAGCTTTCATACTTAATACCAAGTCTCTGAGTCATGATTTGGGGGCTGGCAGTCCAAACAGCCTGCTACTGTGGTAGAGGGCTTTTGAGTTACCTCAGCTGGGCCATGTTAATGTTGCCAGGTGGTGCACACCTTTAATCCCAGCACTCAGGAGGCAGAGGCAGGTGGATACCTGAGTTTGAGGCCAGCCTGGTCTAGAGAGTGAGTTCTAGGATGGCCAGGGATATAGAGAGACCCTGTCTCAAAGAACCAAAAAATACATACAAGTAAGTGGGCTTGGCTTTATCTTCCTCACATGCAGGTCCGCACGCCCCGCTGTGACCTTGTGCAGTAATAATACATAATAATATATAAACAGACTCAGGTAGGTAGCGACACTCCTTGATGAAGGTGAGAGTTTCACACTGAATGCACAAATCTGCAACCTCAGTTGCCTTCACTGCCTGTACCCTATTTTCTACTTCACTTAGAGAACTGGGGCGATAGGGGGCTAGTGCAGGTGCTCAGCGGGGAAAAGCACTTGCCGCCAAGCCTGACGGGTTCCATCCGTGGGACCCGGGTGGGGGAAACAGACGGTCAACTCTTGCCTCTACACATGTGCTGCGGGATGTGTGTGTCCCCACACACAAGCACACGTAAAAAATAAAAATGTTAAAATTAAATAAGTAGCCAGGAAGTGGTGGCACACGCCTTTAATCCCAGCACTGGGAGGCAGAGGCAGGCGGATCTCTGTGGGTTTGAGGCCGGGGACTCACCATTCTGAGGCAGATACCATTTCCTGGTCAGGTTGGTTGCCTACGACATGGTCGATGACCTTGAGGTTGCAGCTGGGCCTAGAAGAGAGAAGGGGTTAGAAGGTGGGAAGACTAGCCCCCCAAATCCTCTTCATTGCCGCGAACCTTTCCATAACCCTAGTAGCTCAGATTTAGTAGCAGACTCTGCTGTGCCTCAGGCACAGTTAACCCGACAGCTCTTAACAGTCCCATTCTTTATTTGTTAAGACAGTGTCTCACTATGTAGCCCTGACTGTCCTGGAACTCACTCTGTAGACCAGACTGGCCTCAAGCTCACGGAGGTCCACCTGCCTCTGCCTCCCAAGTGCTGGATTAAAGGTGTGCGCCACCACCGCCCGGCTCTCCCCATCCTATCTTATGATGAAGAAGCAGAGGTGTAAAGTGGAGCCTCCTGCATGAGGTTAATCGGCTGGAAGTGGAGCTGGGATGTGAGCCAGAAAGTCTGGCCGGGGCCTGGGCCTTCACCTGTTATACCACCGCCCTGTGCCACCTTCAGATTCCACCGGGGGGGGGGGGCTCTTTCTGCCACTCCACACCAAGGGGCACTTACAGTTTTGGAAGGAGAGTGTCCTTGTACACTGGGGCCTCAAATCCAGGTAAGAAACGGCCCGTGTAGTTGATCTTCTCCACCAGGGTGTGTGTGGTATCTCCGTACTGGGGGTGGGAAACAGCTGAGTCAGGGAGAAGCCCCTACCCGCTGGCTCTATCAAGTCCGGGTGTTTTCAGGGCACCAGCCGACCCCTGGGTTCCACCAGGAATCTGACCCCCACGCAGAAAGGACAGTGGGCAGTCCTTTCTGGAATGCATGGCTACTTGTCATTTGTTCGGTAATGTCCTCACCAGTCTGCCTGCAGGTCCAGAAACTGTGGCCTGGGGATTCAGTTTTCTCCTTCGTGGCTTTATTTATGTTTGAGATTGAGTCTAGTTAGTTCCACTTAGTTCCAGGGATTTTCCCGTGTCTACCCCTAACCCCCTAATGCTGACCTAACAGGTGTGCTGGCTCTGCCCCTACCCTCAGGGGTGGGGATTGAACCTAGGTCCTTACATGTGCCGGGCAAGTGCTCTACCACAAAGCTATATGCCCAACCCCTACTGCACCTGGCTTTTTATGTAGGTGCTGGAGATCTGAAGCCCCGTGCTCATGTTTCTGCCCAGCACCCACTGCGCCGTCTCATTTCCGCAGCTCTCTTTCCACTTTTTAGATCTTGAGACAGTGTCTCACTGAGTTGCGCAGGCTGGATTTGAGCATAAACACCTGGAATTTGTGATCCTCCGGCCTCAGACCCCCAGAGGCTGAGATTACAGGCCTTCCTCACTTTTAGCAATCTTTAAATTTAATATAATTTTGAGGAAGACGGACTGGTGACTGCCTCGGTCTCCAGATAACAGGAGTGCTGCACAGGCTCACCATCCCTGTAGAGAGTGACCCCTGCTCTGGGCATTGTCCTCCTAGGTGCTTCCCGACAGGGGAGGGGTTGTAGCTGGAGAGACTGAGGCACAGGAGGCTCACTATGTGACCAGGTCGCGAGTGAGTTCCCGCTTCAGTATTTGGTCATTTCAGTGCCACAGAGGGGGAGGTTTGCTCCAATGCCACTGCTCGCCCCCTTTGTAATGCCCCCACCTCTGCTGAAGCTTATACCCCCCAAGCTGTTGCTTCCCACTGGGGAGGATGCCTGGTAGCTCCCAGCAGCCTCTGAGCACTGGTCATGCATTTTCAGAGGTCAGTCTTGAGAAAGGCACATGGACAGGGTGGGGTAATGGGTGAGTTGGCGGGGGGGGGGGAGGGATGTCGTGGTGTCTCCGTGGGAGTGGGACAGCAGAGTCCACTCACCGTCTGTAGCACAGCGAACTTCACCTTCCCGAACTTGTCTTCCTCCACCCAGGGCTCCCTCACAATTTTGGCTCCCCGTTCCCGGGCTTTCTATATGGGAGACCAAATTGGGAGACTAGTGAGGGCTGGAGCCTCGCAGAGACATTTTGCAGGACTCCTGCTGTGGGCTTCTGTGTGGTTCTGACATAGCAGGGCACCTAGCTAGCTACCTTCAGCTGGATTCTCTGGGACCATGCCTCATGCCTATCTGCCAGGTAGAGAAACAGGTCCAGGTTCGAAGCTTTGCTTATAGGAGACAAAGCAAGCGAGCGTGCCTGTCGGTCCTGCCTTTACCAACTACCCTTTGAACCTGCTGTCTCTCCAGTCCTCAGTTTCCCTCCTAGAAGAGGAGTGGTCATATAGCAAGACCATAGAGCAGACAAACTGCTCTTCATTGAGGACTTAGCGTGTCAGACCCGGTGCCGAGTGCCCTGACCAGGCTCACACATTTTCTCAGCAGGAGCTCACTCACTGCACGAAGTGTTCCTATCACAGGCCAGGCACTACTCTTGTAGTCACATGACACAGAGACGGGATTGCCATCTCCATTCCGTAGGCAAAGAAAGAAGCACAGAGAAGTCATGTCACGCACTCAAAACCGCACAGCCGCTCACTAAACCTCTCAGTTCCCATTTTCTCCTGTTCAGTGCCTTGCTGGGGATGCTTATTGGGCGAGTGCTCTACTCCGGAGCCCAACCCATGAACAAGGAGACCTTTTGAAGGAGGGCCTCATGTAGCCTAGGCTATCCTCGAACTCTCTATGTCGCTGAGGATAACTCTGAACCCCGGATCTTCCCTCTGAGGCTCAGGGTGTGCATCACCATGGCTGACTCCAGACTGCCTCTTGAGAATGTTATGGTCCAGACACAATCGTTTTAATTCATTTTCTTCCCAGCCTTTCAGCAAGGCTACGATTAGCCCCGCTTTGGAGATTTGGACACGAGATTCGCACAGAGAGCAGACACAGTGGAGGATGGGGCGGGTGTCACTGGAACTGGCGTCCGGCCTGACTGGTGGGGTCCTGGCGGCAGAGGCTTGCTCCGTCCGTCCAGCGGCTTCTCACCTGCACGATGTGCTCACAGTCCTCCACCTCGAATGCGATGTCCTTCACCCCATCGCCATGCTTCACCAGGTGGTCGCCCATCTCTGCGGCCAGCAGGAGAGTACAGACAGTGGCGGTCCGAGCCCCTATCCCGCCCCCCGGCCTTCTGGGCTCCTGTCTCGCCCTGCCCCCACCCATGCCCCATCAACTGAGTCACACTGCCACCCGCTGTGATGCCCCTCACCTTTGTTCCAGGGGTTGAGAGCAGAACAGAGAACAAACACGATCTAAAAAGTGGACAAGGGGGTGGGATTGGTGGCCGGGAGAGGGTGAGGCGCCTGCCTTCCATCTTCCCTGCCTACTCTATGGCACCCCTGGAGGGACACAAGGCTCCACCATCCGGGATCCCTGGAGCATGTGTTCCTGCCCCTTGTTGCCTCTGGTCCCTCCTGTTCCTCAGAGCTGGTGTTATCCCGCCATGGCAGCCTTGTGCTGGGCCCTCAGTCAGAACCTAGAGAACTCCAGGGACCCCATGGATCAGAGACCATTCAAAGTCTCTTCTCTGGTATCCTTGGTTTCTAGGGCTTCTATGGGTCCAATGCCAGGCTATTTGAGAACGCCATGAAGCCAGGGAGATCCCATTGCCTAGGGCATGGGTCAGTAGCAGCTTTGCCATGCATCTTGGAACCAGCTGGGTACCCCATGCAGGACACACTGGAGACCTCCACACCAGTACACCTGGGTGCGTACTCACTTTTCCTTGCTTGATGACGTGACTGACCACCTCCCGGGAACCCGTCTCCAGGCCCCTGTAGGCCAACGGCTCAAAGCCCATCTTGTTGCAGTAGAAGGAGGCAGCCTGGATGGCATAGTGGCAAGGGGCTCAGAGGGGCGTGGGGACCAACCCAGAGATCCCTAGAAGGGAGCCCCAGTCTTCTGCCTGCCCTCTTGTTCCTCATTCGGAGACCCTCCTAGCAAGAGAGGCAACCCTCCCCTCCCTCTGAAAAGTCCCTGCTGGGGTCTGTGGAACTGATTGTGTAATTAGGATCCAAAGGGCCAGTTCTAGCCTGGCCTGGATCCTCCCCTCACAGTAGCCAATCCCAGCTGCAGCTGGGGCCAGCCCCCTAAAGGAGGCCTCTGACCTGTCCCCTGCCCCCTCCAGCCTTTCTACCTGCTTGGCATTGCCAACCCAGAAGGTCACAGAGTGGAAATGGAGGAATCGGCCTCGCTCGGGCTGCAGGAAGGAAGAAGCAGGAGGTTGGATCCCAGGATGGAGTTTGCCCTTGCCTCTTTTCTCCACTCTCAGTCCCCAAACCTAGGAGAATGTCACCCACCTCCTGCATCTTTGTCTAGCCTCCAAAGACATTTCTTGCTAGAGGAATTGAGCTCCTTGAGAGTTCAGAATTGGGAAGCCCCGCTCCCCCACAGGAGGCCTGCCCAGGGTTCTCAGAAGGAAATGAGCTCATGTGGGAATGGCACGGGTGTCAGGGAAACCACAGAAAAAAATCTGAACAGGTAAGCCGGGTGGTGGTGGCGCACGCCTTTAATCCCAGCACTTGGGAGGCAGAGGCAGGCGGATCTCTGTGAGTTCGAGGCATTTATGGAGGGAGTTCTTCAGGAAGTCGACATTGAGTCCAGCTTGGTCAGCTGGAGGGGATGGGGATTCAGGTGATGTCACACACCCATGGGCGTCCTCCTCCTTTACTTTGACACCTTTTTCTTTCCCTTCCTCGGCCAAGGGCCCCGCATCTCTCTCCTGGCTTACCTTTGGTCCTTTGTCGGTGTAGGTCGTCTAGAGGGGAGAGGAAAGGCACAATGAGAGGTGACGGCAGGGACGTCTTGAGTCACCGTGGGTCGGCACTCATGGCTACCCACATGACTCAGACACACTTACCATGGTTGATAGTGGTCAGGAAGGCTGGGGCGAGAAGCCTGGGGAGGTTGGACGGTGTATTTATTGCAGGGCAAAGGCAGGGACCGCCCCTGGCCTGGCCTTCCTGGAAGTGGAGAGCTGAGCTAGCTCAGAGCTCCTAGACTTGGGAACCTGAGTCAGTCCTGACTTCACAGGGACAGGGCAGTGGTGCCAGCCTCAGAGGGAGAGTGACGTTGCTATGGATCACTGGCCAGTAGAGCAGAGCCAGGACAAGAAGCCAAGGGCACATTCTCTCTCTGTGGGGTGGGACTGTGATCTTGGCATCCAGGTTGAAAGCTCTGAAAGGAAGGCCAGTTTTAGTGCAGGGCTATCTGATTCGAGGGAGTGAGCAGGGCTGTTGGGGGTGATGTTGAAACCCAGTTTGCAAAGCAAACATGTTACTAGAGGCATGGGTGTAAGGGGGTTGTATCCTGGCTCTGCTGTGAAAGTCACCAAGCCTGGGAGTCACAGTTTCTTTATCTATAAAATGGAAACAATAGCCAGGTATGGTGACACATGTCTAGAATTCGAGTCCTACAGGCCAAGCATGGGGATTCCCACAGTTCAGGTCCAGCCTGGTCTACATAGTGAGTGCTTGACCAGCCAATCAAGGGATATACAATGAGACCATGTCTTAGAAAAGGGGTCAGGGGACGTGGTGATGGATAATACAGAGGGGGTCAATGAGATGACATGTAGTCTTTGGCCTGGGACCTGGAGCATGGTATGACTCTATTTGTGCCATTTGTAATCAGTTACACTTCTTTGAGAGCTGAGGCGGAGCTTTGGCCTTGCTATAATCTGAGTATTTATTAGAAGGGAGGTTAAGGCTTTATTCCTGCCCCCGGCTCTTATCACCACTTAGGATGCTGGGAAGGCAGAACTGATAGTTCTTGGGGGAGGAAGGCCCATGACCTCGCATCCACATCTCTGGGTCTTTCTAGGAAGATGCAGTGACAGTAGCTGATATTTACCCGAGGTCCCTAGGACAACGTGCCCCATCTTCATTCTATCTCCACACCAGGACCTAAAACCTCTTTTTTCTGGTTGATACTGGAGAGCCTGGCCAAGGGCTAAGGTTTTGACTATGCAATCGACAAGTGGAAAAATGAGACCGTTTACTCTAAGTCCAGGGCCCACACTTCAAAAATGTGTTGTAATGATAGACGTGGTGGTGCACACCTTTTATCCCAGCAGCATCTGGGAGGCAGAGGCAGGAGGATCTCTGTGTGTTCAGCCTGGTCTGCAGAGTGAGTTCCAGGATAACCAAGGCTACACAGTGAGACCCTGTCTCAAGCCCTGCTCACCCAAAAAGGGGGAGCCTGGGCCAGGGAAGGCACTCTGTTGGCAAAGTACTGAGTCCATGAACTCACAGTATGTGTTTATGTGTCTTTTTTAATCTCAACATTGGAAGATGGAGACAGAAGGATCCCTGGGGCTCCCCTTGGGCAACCAGCCTAGTCAACATGATGAGTTCCAGGCCAATCAGAGGCTCCAGCTCAAAGGTCAGGAGCAGGGTGAACAGTACCTGAGGAACAACACCTACGATTGTCTCTGACCACACACACGTACCTGTACACACCGGCATATCACACAAGTCCATCACACACATACACACAGAAATGGAGTTAACACATCTTGGAGGTGGCTGAGCTGGTGAACCAAACTCTAGCCTATTTGGTTCTGAAGTTGAATCTTATCTGCCCCCCCAGAGATCATGTTTCCATTGTTAAATCTCTGTATTTGGGGCAGTTGTGGAGGCAGAAGAGGTGGTCTCACTCCTTTACTCCTGCCCCTCCTCGGTGACTCTCTACCAGGGAAGGTTCCACCGAGGGAGAAGGCCACCCACTATTATGCTGGACTGGACCACAGGAACATCTTGTCCTTTGTTTACTGTGACCAACTCAGCCCCCTGCTGCTGGACCCTGGCCTGGCTTCTATCCTAGGCATAAGGCCAGCCTTTCCTGAATTCAGCAAGCACATCACGAGCAGCCTTGGGTTCAGAAGGCTGGAGCGGCAGGTGTGCCTGTATCTCTCCTCCCTCTGCCTTTACTTCCAGAAATGTGTTGGTTCTCAGTCATGGTCTAGATATGCTACAAGGTGCTCATCCATATTTGGGCAGAGCCTAGGGAGGGCGCTCTCAGGACTTAGCCTCGGGAGCCCCCTTGTCCCCTCCTCATGCTCTAGCTGGGCTCCGCTGGACATCAGATTAGATGTCCATCGCTGCTCTGTCCCTGTGCTAAGGAGTAGGTTCCAGAAGCAATTTTTTTTTTGAGTCAGGGTTTCTTTGTGTAGCTTTGGATGTACTGGAAATAGCTCTGTAGACCAGGCTGTCCTTGAACTCACAGAGATCCACCTGTCCCTGCCTCCCATGTGCTGGGATTAAAGGCATGAGGCCACAGCACCACCTTTAAGAATCTATTTAAACAGAGCAGTGGTGGTGCACACCTTTAACCCCAGCACTTGGGAGCAGGGACAGGCGGATCTCTGTGAGCTTGAAGCCAGCCTGGTCTACAAGAGCGAGTTCTGTCACAGAGAAACCCTGTCTCAAAAAACCAAACCAAACCAAACCAAAACAAAAGGTGGTGCTATGGCTTGTGCCAGCTTCTCAGGGCATGGGGGTAGAAGCAGGGATTCAAGGCTAGCCTCAGTTACAGAACTCTGTCTCACCAACCAACCAACCAACCAACCAACCAACCAACCAACCAACGGGCTTCTTGATTCATCCTGTACCACACCCCAGAGTACAGAAAGAACTCCCATAGCAGACCTATGATACGAGGGGGTCTTGGCTGGTATCCAGGATTCTGGGCTTCAGCAAGTTCCCATCTTCTCAAAAATAATGAAAGTGGTTGGCTGTGCTCAAACAGTTTGGTTTGTACAGTATGAAGCTGGTGATCCAGCTCAGTGGTAGAGAATGGGTTCTACCCCCAGTACCAATAAGAAAGGGAGTGGAAGGGAGAGGAAGATAGGGAGGGAGGAGGAAAGAGAGAGAGCATGAATTAATGAGCTTCTATGTAGTCATGGAGAAAGAGATTCAGGATATATGTTGGTTTTGGTTTGTTTGGGGTTTTTGTTTTGTTTTGGCTTTGATTTTTCAAGACTGGTTTTCTCTGTATAGTCCTGGCTGTTCTGAAACTCACTCTGTAGACCAGGCTGTCCTTGAATTCACAGAGTTCCATCTGCCTTTGCCTCTCTAGTGCTGGGATTAAAAGTGTGTGCCACCACCACCTGCCTGGAATTGTTTTTTATTTATTTATTTTATTTTATTTTATTTTATTGGTGTTTTAGCTTATATGTATATCTGTGTGAGGGTGCTGGATCCTGGAGTTACAGACAGTTGTGAGTTGCCATATGGGTGCTGGGAATCGAACCCGGTTCCTCTGGAAGAGCAGTCAGTGCTCTTAACTATCTCTCCAGCCCCCTTGAATTGTTTTTTTAAGACACAGAATAATGTATATAACATGGCACCAGACGGTGGTGGCATATGCCTTTAATCCCAAAATTCAGGAGGATCTCTGAGTCTTCAGAGTGAGTTCCAGAATAGCCAGAGTTACACAGAGAAAGCCTGTCTTGAAAAAGCAAGGGGGACTAAAAGAAAAAGAAATTTATACCAAAGAGTTACATCCTCAATCCAAATCATGTTTCTTTTTCCTCCCTTCCTCCTCCCTCCCTCCTTTAGTGTATGTGTGTGTGTGTGTGTGTGTGTGTGTGTGTGCAGGGGTCCACTCTCCCTGTGTGTATGTAGGGGCGCCCCTCTCCCTCTGTGTGTGTGTGTGGGTCCACTCTGTGTGTGTGTGTGGGCATTCTCCCTGTGTGTGTGGGGGCACTCTCCTTTGTGTGTGTGTGGGCGCTCTCCCTGTGTGTGTGTGGGCACTCTCCCTGTGTGTGTGTGGGGGGGGCGCTCTCCCTGTGTGTGTGTGGGGGGCGCTCTCCCTGTGTGTGTGGGGGGCACTCTCCCTGTGTGTGTGGGGGGCACTCTCCCTGTGTGTGTGTGTGGGGCGCTCTCCCTGTGTGTGTGTGTGGGGCACTCTCCCTGTGTGTGTGTGTGGGCGCTCTCCCTGTGTGTGTGGGGACACTCTCCCTGTGTGTGTGGGGGGGACATTCTCCCTGTGTGTGTGTGTGTGTGTGAGCGCTCTCCTTGTGTGTGTGGGAGGGGCACTCTCCCTGTGTGTGTGTGTGTGTGTGTGGGACACTCCCTGTGTGTGGGGGGGGCGCTCTCCCTGTGTGTGTGTGGGGGACACTCTCCCTGTGTGTGTGTGTGGGGGGGACACTCTCCCTGAGGCATGTGTCTGTTCTTGCTGTTCATCTTGTTTGAGAAACAATCTCCTGTCCTAGGCTGTAGCTTGTCCACAAGTTTCTGTGGAGTTTCCTGTCTTGCTACCCCAGTGCTGGGGTTAGAGATGTGTTGTGGCTTCTAGGGATCCAAGCTCACATCCCACACTTGCGCGGCAAGTGCTTCACACATCTCCCCTGTAGAAAGAAGTTTTTGTCCTGCCTAGTTCCACAGCCTTTCAGTCCCAAAGAAACACACAGAGGATTATAGTAATTATAAACTTTTTGGCTTATTAACTCAGGTCTATCATTAACTAGCTCTTACAAC